CACAATGACCTTTTTCATGTCTTTTCCCTTTCAACAATTCTAATTAATTAATAATTTATTGTTGGTCCAAACTTAGTATGTACGGTGTCTAAACGACCCGAGTTCGAACCGAGTCTGACTGTTTTGGTGAGCTCGAGCTCAAGCTCGTTGAATATTTTTTTTTTTGGCTCAAGCTCGAGCTTCAACCAGTTTAAAAGAGTTTGAGCTCCAGCCCAAGCTCATTTGATTTTTTTTCTAATTTATTTATTTATATTTATTATTTTATTATTAAAAAATATTTATATTATAATAAAAATAAATAATGAACTGAAATTATTATTATTTTAAATTTTATATGTATTTTTTATATTATTATGATTATAATATTTTATATTTTTATATTATTTAAATTCATATTAATATATTAAAAATAAGAAGTAGGCTCCCCGAGCTCATGAACAACCAAGAAAAAAAACTCAAGCTCGGCTCGTCAGAAAGCTCGAGCCGACTCAACTCATTCACACTCCTAATAGTAAGTGCTCTTCCATTCCTAGTTAATTGTCGTTTTTCAGTTTCGGACAAATATTATGAATGTAAATAAATATGTCTTGATTTTAGGAAGAAAAAAAAACGAATTAGAAAAATTAAAATAACCTTATCATATAATGACGTAATAAGAGATAATTAATACTTAGAGTTCAATTAAATAAGGTTAAAATATGATTTTTTTTTTTACATCTAGTACAATATTAGAAAAATAACTAATAATATATAACAAAAATATTTTAAAAAAAATAAACGGTTATTATGGAACATAAATACTATTTAGCACTAAAGTCAAGTATATCAATCAGCCCAGGGCCCATTTTGACAGGCCCATGCCCACACGACAAAAAAACGAAGAGAAAAGAAAAAGGAAAAAAAAAACTTTATTTAATTTTGCCATTGAGTTAATTTTCTTCTATCATTATTTTTCATGTCTTTCTTTTCGATGGCACAGTGGGAGATGTATGCATTCCCCATGTGTTACAATGTTGGGATATCTTTTACACGAAAAAAAGAAAGAGAAGGATAAAAGAAAATTGATGGAATTCGAATAATTATTTGTATTGTCTGGCTCGATTGCTTCTTCATCGTGACTAGCAAGACAAATTCGACGAGGCCGGTGTAAAACATTGGCTAAAGAGAATCAAACTCAAATCTTTTGACATCGTGTACCTTCCTTACCAATTAGTCAATCTTGCGAGGAGTGAAATAATTACGGTTTTGAATTTTTTTTTATTTACTGACAAGAAAAATGGTAGTCACTCGAAGTGCACTGAATAAATTCCGCCCTTATGTAGAGTAGTTTGTAAACAGCACGAGAGATGTGCATTATTCTAAGTTTGTTTTATGACGAGTTTGATAGCATATTCGATCTGAGTCAAATGAGAAAGTGATATGTACTTGTGTTACGAATTCACATGGCTCGATACAAGCTCACGTGGATGTAAATAGTACTCAAAAAGATTCTTGTCTATCTAGACTGCTTCTTCATCGTGACTAGCTAACAAGACAAATTCAACGACTTCGGCCGATAATATTAGCTAAAAGAGAATCAAACTCAAATATTTTCACATTGTGCACTCTTCTTACCAATCTGTCAATCTTGCGAGGAATGAGATAATTACTGTTTTATTTCTTTGTATCTATTGACAAGAAAAATGGTAGTCACTTGAAGCGAACCTAATAAAAATTGATATACATTTGTGTTACGAATTCACACTCGATCACGTGGAATAGTAACAAGAATTAAAAATGGAGAGGAATATACCTATATTTTAATTGGTGTTCTTGAATATCAAGAAATATGAGTGGTGGAAAATAAGTTCCCTAAAGGTGTATTATATGAGTGTGAAATAATATTAAAAAAATTTAAAAAAAAAAATTTAATAATAATAATATGTTAAGAAAAAGTTGCGTCCACATATGAAAATCAATTCTCTAGTGTTGCCGCTTCATTTCCACGTCAGCTTCACATGCTCACAGTCATTTGTGGATTACACGCAATGCCACTTAGCTTTTGGACACACTTTCTTTCTTACTATAAAAATTTTACAAATGCCCTAACTTATTATATATAAATATGTATGTATACATTTAAATTCTTAGCTTCAAATCTTTCAATGAAAATGTAAATTAAGGATGACCAATTCAATAGTAATAATTATATATTTGTTTATAATGCACTTACTCTTCATATATGAGCTTTAAACTACTTTGATAATGGTTATTGTTATTGAAATAATAATAATAATAATAATAATAATAATAATAATAATAATAATAATAATAATAATAATAATAATAATAATAATAATAATAATAATAATAATAATAATAATAATAATAATAATAATAATAATAATAATAATAATAATAATAATAATGAGTAAATTACGGTCACCTCCCTGAGATATGGTGAAATTACGAAAAACCCCATCTTGTTTGAGTAATTACAACCACCCCTCTCAACTATGAGTCTTTTTACATGTCCACCCTTGTTACCCCCTTAGTCGGTGATATCGGTAATGACTCGAGTGTGGCCGAGTCATGGCCGAGAAATGGTGCCAAGTGAGGATTGGCACAAGACAGCCACACAATCGGCCAATGAGTGGTCGAGTGTTGGGCAAGCATTTGGGGTGTTTGTCCGAGAAAGCAAGGAATGGCTTGATTCAAGTGGGAACGGTGATCGAAAGTACTAGTGGCTGGCACGGGCGTTGCTCGGCAGCAAATGCGGATAAGCGTGGGCAGTAATCGGCATGTGGCTGATAATTTGGGCAAACGAACGTTCGAGGGAAATCGACCACGACTTGACAAGTGTGGGCAGTTGGCACACGACCGGTTGGCAAGTCAAGGAAGGCAGCTCGATGTGCGGGCGTGCTAAAGACCGTGTGGGCAAAGAACTAGCAAGTGACGGGCAAGGCAAGCAAAACGTGCGGAAAAGGCAAGGCAGATGGGCTGCCTAGCAACCGGCCGGGCTGTTTTGGGCCGTTTGGTGCGCGCGCGCGCGTCCGATCAAGATGGGCCTCGAAAACCAGCCTTGTGGGCGGTTTTGAGGGAAGTTGCGGAGCGGTTGAGGCCTGGAAAGCACGAAAAACTGCCCCTTATTACTTGTAATAGTTAGCCAAGTGTCAAGTATTAGTGCTGCCATGTGTCCTTAGGTAGTTTTATGTGAAAACTACCTTCTTCCTTGTATTTATTTGGCTATGAGTGCACAAATCCGACCCATCTAGCATTAGAGAGTTCAGATTGCAATTGTGGGCATTCTGAGTGAGGATTTTGTGTGTGCACCTTAGTCCCATTTGTATCCTTTGTGGGAAATTAATATAAAGGTTGGGCATTGCCCGTAAACGTGCTTGTGTATTGTTTTCGGCTGCATACTCTTGTTTTCGTTTACGTTGGCTTAAAAGACTTGTGTTTGTGCGTTTTGTACGAAGAGAATCGAGAGGAAGGCTGACTGATTTGGTGGGCAAATCAGGCCGCACGGGCGAAAATTTCTTGAGTAAAGAAACCCTTGTGACAACCCTTATGATGTCAAATTTAACATAATTTTCTAGATTTTATCGAATGTTCTCTAGTTTATGTACTCTATTTTGTGGAAAAATACTGTTTCTGATGCACCACAATCTGATATTTACAAGCCAAGAGACACATCTTATGATCATATTTTTTCAAATTATGGAGCTCGAATGGAGTAAAATGGGTACAAAATGAAAAATATAAAACATAATCTAAAAGATTCCACTAAATTTGACACTGCAAATGTGGACGTTTAAGACGATTCAGAATTGTGGGTTAGTTATAATTATCCAAATAAAATGAATTGTTTTGTAATTTGATCATAGTTCAGAGGTGCCCGTAATTTACCATAATAATAATAATAAATAATAGTAGAGAGTGAATCTTGGAGGAAGTGACATGAACCGGATCCTCCACTAAAAACCAAAAAAACTAGAAAGTTTATTTGCTACTTTATGGCTTATCAATTAAGCAAGCCCACTCACTTTGTCACATGTCGGATCCATCTCTACTTGCTAACAAAATTGATCCCAAAAAATGCCACATATATACGCCAACAAAAAAATATTAAAATATTAATAATAATAATAATAATAAATAATATCTAAATAAATTGGGGTAATTTATTTTAAAATAGTGTCCATTTTTTCTTTTATTATAAATATGAACGGCCAATTTCAAATTGCTTGCATCTCAAAAGGTTATTTATGATACTATTGAATTTAATTCAAGGAGCAACCCCGACACAACAATAATCAATCATTGGGCTATTTTGGCTCAATTTCAATTTACGTAGCAACAACTTACATAAGTGGAAAAATAATTATTTATTTTTAAATAAAAATAAATAAAGTTAGGGAAAAACTAGTTCTTCACCCGTGCGTTGCACGGATGTCAGTTTTAAAATGAGAAAAATAATAATATGTAACGACTATCTCTTATAACAATAGCAATTCAAATAAACAAAATGGAAGAAAATAAAAAAAAAACCATAAACTTTATCTCTTATTTCAGAATTTTAACATATGAGATTAAATTAAATATTCTAAAGAAGAAAACGTGAAGCGCGCAAACACGATATGAAGATTAAGTGAAATCATTTAAAATATATGGTATAACTCTAGTTCGAGGAATGCAACCTACTACACAATGTCAATATTTTGCAAAATAACTAAATTAACAACAAACATGGTAGGAGAGAAGTAACAAAATAGATATTCAAATAACCTGTAAGTTTATAACTAATGACGTTTAATTAGTGATGCAAATTGCTCAAACAACAATACAACTTATAAATATTGCAAAAGAGATAAGATGTATACGTCCTTATTGATACCAATGCTGATATCAATACCGATACCAATATGGATACCAATACTGATACCAATATTGATATTAATATTGATACTTATACTTATACTAATTAATATCAATACTAATACTGATACTAATCAATATCGATACACATACTTATACTAATACTAATACTAATAATAATACTAATACCAATACCAATACTGATACCAATACCAATACTCATACTAATACTAATATTTATACTTATACTTATACTTATATTTATCCTTATACTATTGCTATACAC